ATCAGCTGTAAAAATCGTCGTCTTGTGAACAAACGGTTCGTGAAGCATGGACCTAATCAACGTCCAGCGAAAATCCCCTATTGGAATGACTTTTGTGGATCGCTATAGCGATCGCAAAAAGTCATCGTTATGCGGATTCATCATTCAGCGGGTCATCGTCTTGCGAGGTACCACTGTACTCTAGGTGTTGCCTTACCAGCGTTTTGTACAATGGCAGTATAATGTTGGTTGTTTTATTTTCAATCCCCTAATGATGGCATTTCCATCTTTTCTGTGTCACTTTTGGCTTATAGTTCACAAAATTTACAGTTTCATCATATCTTCAAAGGGAATACATTTGGAGGTCCTACAAAGGCTATTATGTGATTTAAAACAGACGTATTTAAATGTTATGATCCACAAGCACTTGAAATATAATAAGTCAGGAGGTGTACTGTACACTGCTCTATTTGCCACATCCCGTGCATAACTCTTGTACTATGACAATTTATTGGACATGGGAATGAGCATCATAATTCAAAAGCATTTTTAACAGCTAGCTGTGTAGCTGACGAGTGTTACATTAACTATTTGGGAAGGGGGCAATTGTTTTTTGAGATCTTTCACTAATTGGCATCACACAAATCCAAATGCCACTCCCTGTTTTTGTTTGTCTGTTAGTGAGCTCATTGGCTAAACTTTTATACAGTACTGGTACAAAATTTAAGTGTATCAAGTTTATTTTTGGTGCTTTCCTTCATAGAGATCACATATAGCATATGTGCATTAGAGGAAGTTTTACTGAATAAGTTATTAGATCAATTTAAATGCAATAAATACTAAAAACAATTAACAAAATTAAATATCTAAATCTTAAAACGTCACTATTCATTAATTTTTAAACTTAAAGTAATAAGTCAGAATTATATAAATGTTTGTAATAAAATTAAGCAAACCTGTCACAACTCCATAAGGATTAAGAGTTATACATAGTTCATTTAATTAAACATTTTTCTATTTTTTTCTTAAATTAGCTTCCTCATCCAAAAAAGAGGGCAGTTCTCTGTATCATTACCTAATTAGATCCTCATTACCTAATTAGATCCCAGAGGGAGAAAAATCAGTTTTTCTTTAGTCTCTCACCTTACCAAGATATGGAAATATGTTATGTTCTTTGTGGTTCACAAATAACTGGCATTCCACTAAATAATACTCCAGGTCTCTACTAAGCTTTTAAATACATAGGGCAGTGATTCTTGCACTGGGATGCCCTGGAATCCTTGTTGTCCCCCCCCTTCTATTATGTCTGTTCTGCTTGAACTGAAATTGCAACCATTTCATGATATTTGATGTCAGCTATATCCAGCTGTGTTATAGCCTCCTAATACTCTCTGTTCAAAAACCTTTGCTATGCTGTGGTAAAACTTGTAATATGTAGTGCTTCCACATTAAAACCATACTTTGAAAGCAATTTTTTAAAGCTGTACAGCCAAACTTTAGGAATTGTGGCTACCTATTGATTTAGATCAGTAGTTCTAAACCTTGAGTTCTCAGATGATGGATTACAATTCCCAGAATTCCTGGCCAGCACAGCTAGTGGTGAAAGACTTTAGTCCAAGAAAACCTGGAGACCCAAGGCTGGGAAACACTGATTTAGGTAGATCTTAGGAAGTTTATTACCACACATTTATACTAATGTCCTAAGATTAATTAGGTATGAAACTGATACAATTCCAAATTTGTCTGTAATAATAACCTGGGCTGAGGAGGATCTTGACATTCTTAGAAACAGGAATAAAAATCAAATCTGTACTGGTTGTTGTGGGTTTTTCGGGCTCTTTGGCCATGTTCTGAAGGTTGTTCTTCCTAACGTTTCGCCAATCTCTGTGGCCCGCATCTTCAGAGGACAGAGGGTTTGACCATTTTATACTTATGCTTACAAAAAGCTCTTTCAGCTGGAAAAAAAATTTTAAGTAGGGGGAGCATCATATCATAAAAGAACACAAGTAGAGACTTCAGCTTTCAGAAGATGATTTAAATAAGTGTCTTACGGGCATGAATCGGAAAAAAGGTGATTTTTAAAAAGTTGTGATTTGTCAGGGCCAACAAATCATGTATTACAAATTACAAATTTATAAACTGTTTCTGATGAATTCTCAAAGGCTTTCAGCCAGGAGCTGAAGATTGTTGTAGGTTTTTTGGGCTGTTTGGCCGTGTTCTGGAGGGGTTTTTTTCCAATGTTTCGCCAGTCTCTCTGGCCGGCATCTTCAGAGGACAGGCGTTAGAGCTCTGTCTGTGTTCTGGTGTTCACAACTGCAGGAGTATACCAGATACGTTGCAGTTGTGGCCAGGTATATATTGGGACCACAAAACGCAGCATCCACACCAGAATAAAAGAACATGAAAGACACTGCAGACTAAAACAGCTAAAATATTGGCAGTAGCTGAACATGTCCTGGAACAAGCTGGACATGAAATCCTATTTCAGAACACATAAGCACTAGACAACACCAGCAATCATTATGTTAGAGTACAAAGGGAAGTCATTGAAATCCACAAACACCAGCAAAGCTTCAACAAAAAAAAGAATAAAATCTAATACTCAACATAGCCTGGCTCACAGCACTGAAAATTACAGCCTGCAAAAAGGTCAACAAACTCTACCCAGTCTCAAGGACCAGTGATCACTGCACAAAAAAGACTAACGACACCCATCAATCACAGTGACCCATCATCTCCCCCTTATCACAACTATACACCCATAATAAAAAAACACCCTGATCACCATAACCTCCTGAAAAGGACAAAAAGCTGATCCCACAGTTATAAATAGTGAAGTATCCCACACACTACACCAGAACACAGACAGAGTTCTAACTCCTGTCCTCTGAAGATGCTGGCCACTGCTGGATAGATTGACAGTCAATCCAGCCCAGAAAAGTTCCTCCCAGCCACATCTACTAGAGGAAGCATTCAAAGCCGCAAAAAAACTCCAACATTTTGAAGGGCCTGCAACCATGGAATCTACTCCAATTTTGAGAACTAAACAGTAGCCAAAAAAATGGATTCTGCCAAAGGGTCCTATTCTGTTAGCAGAGATCCATGTGGTCTCTGGTTTGCTCTTGCCCAAGCAGAGATCACCATATTGGAATTAACTGGGTTTCTTCTTGCACAAGGAGGTAGTGGATACTCCCTTCCACAAGCTGCAAAAATGTTGGACTATTTGAGCAACAGATAGTTGTGAAAGCACTTCCATTGATTAGGATTCTGGCTAATTTGTGTAGCGATAAATTTAAAAAATCAATTTTTCACGTATAGTAAATATTTTTTTTCATATTCTTCAGTGTTTATTTATCTAGGACTTGTATTTAGCTGTGTTTGCTTTGTGATTCTCATTGAAAGAAAAGCTCTGGCTTGATTTGCATGTGATGTATGGATGCAGATGTGTCAGGCAAGGTGATCTTTGCCTCAGAAAGAGGTTTCTAAATTACAAAAGAAAGAGTGAGGAAATAGATGCAGTGGCAACCTGCAGTTTCTCCATAAAATACCATCAAAAGTACAATCCAAAGTGTAATAATTTTATTAATCTTTCCCCACTTCTTCACTGTGGAATCAATGAGGATGTCAGAATATATAACTAGTATTTTTGGTATCTAGGGAGCAGTCAAGACATCAACTAGCAATAAGAGGCATGCTTTTCTTTCTCTCACTAACCATTTTAATAGATAAGAGCAGAAATGAGTCAATAAGGTGAAAATGGTCCTTGGGAAACTTACTTTTTGGACAGTATCTTCCAGAAACCCTAACATTACCTGCAGCCATAATGGCTGGGGATTCTGAATCCCATAATTAATTTTCTTAAAAAAGTACCAACCTCTGAGTGAAAGGGAATACTGATTATACAATTCTAACAATATGCCAAAAGTTAGTAAACAGTCAACTGTTGGAGTCATATAAATGTTTTTGTTACAAGTCAGGTAACAGCTTTAATACTGTTCCTAATGGACCAGCTTTAGCATTGTCCCTAAAAATGTCAGCTGAGGAATTGTTAATGTCAAGTTAAGTTTGTTGTCAAATTTCACAGTAACCATGCAGGTGAATGAAACCTGTTTGGCTTCTCTAGCCTTCTTTAGGCCACTCTCTGAAGCTGTTATGCCACAAATGATAATCACTTGGTTGTGTTTTCCCCTGAAAAACTTTTATTTTCCTACTGTTAGTTTAATTATATGGTAGTTTAGGAATAGCCATGCACGTGGCACTTTTATAAAGTCACGTAATTGTATAGCAGCAGGAATTCCAATTAAAGACTTTAAAAATTAAACTTTCACAGTTGCTTTTAAGAACCCAGGTAGCAGCAAAGCTCACGGCAGTGTAATTAACAGCTTTTTGGATATTCAATATACTTTCATTTAAGCACACTCTATTATTATATGACCACAGGTAGGGAATGTGTATTTCATGGCATGAACATAAGTAATGTTTGATCTGTGTTGATGATTCATTTTCACATATACATCACTGCCTGAAATGTGATAAGCATGTATATCCAAACCAGGTCTCATAGTGTAGGGTTTGACTATATTAGAAAACTGAACTGGAAAGATTTGGCTTTGCTGCTATTTGATTTGTCACCTGTATTATGTTAGAGACTGCAATCAGTGCTCACACAAGGGCTGTGGACTGATTCAGGAGTTCACTGTTCATACTGGATGCAATGTAAGTCACATTCCTTGTCCTGCTTCTGTATATCCTTTCTCTTGTCCCATCTCTGCTGATCTTTTATAGTTTCTATGAAGCTGCTTTCTTATTTAAAGCTCCAGATTACTAAATTTCTCAAAAACCTTTCTATAGAAAAATAATATAGTCAAGCATGGAAAGGTGCACTTTCTTTTAGCTTTCTAAATGCCACTGCACAGATTGTGGCTGCCAATCCCAATATGTAACTGTAAGAATCATGCAGCATGGTTGTTGTGGGTTTTTCGGGCTCTTTGGCCGTGTTCTGAAGGTTTTTCTTCCTAACATTTCACCAGTGTCTGTGGCCGGCATCTTCAGAACCTTCAGAACAGGGCCAAAAAGCCCGAAAAACCCACAACAACCTTTAGATCCCGGCTGTGAAAGCCTTCACAAATCATGCAGCAGTTTGTGGGATTAATGCATTCAAAACACACCTTTTCCTTAACATAGAGGGCAGTTTGAAGCACCTGTTTCAGCCTCTGATCAGCCTCTGTGTAACTCTTTCCTCAGCTATAAAAGAGTTGTTGTTGTTGTTGTTGTTGTTTTTACTGCTAACATGGATAGGCCACTTATCACTGGGGAAGGTGCCAGAGCACCTCAGCTCCAGAGGTTCCTGGATGGGATAGAGTATCTAGACCCATTTCAATGGGGCTTCAGGCCTGGTTTTGGGATGGAGATTGCTTTGGTCGCCTTGGTGGATGACCTATGCTGGGAACTGGATAAGGGGTGGGTGTCCTTCCTGGTTCTGCTGGACCTCTCAGCGGCTTTTGATACTATTGACCATAGTATCTTCCTGACCTGTCTCTGGGATGGGACTTGGGGGCACTGTTTTATGGTGGCTCCAGTTCTCCCTGGAGGGGAGAATCCAGAAGGTAGTGCTGGGAGATTCCTGTTCGACACCCTGGCTTGCTGGCTTGCAGGGTCTCTCAAGGCTCTGTTTTGTCTCCTATATTATTTAATGTCTACATGAAACTAATGAGATATATTGTCCAGAATTTTGGGGTTCGGTGTCACCAGTATGCAGAGGACACTCAACTCTACCTCTCCTTGCCACCTAAATTTGAGGAAGATGATTTGGCTCTAGATCCGTGTTTGGCATCCGTAATGGACTGGATGAGGATGAACAAACTGATGATTTGGCTCTAGATTGGTGTTTGGCATCAGTAATGGACTGGATGAGGATGAACAAACTGAAACTTAACCCAGACAATACAGAGATACTCCTGGTCAGTTGAAAGGCAGGTAAAGGAATAGGGATGCAGCCTATGCTGGCTGGATGGAGTTCAACACCAGTGCACAGCTTAGGGGTGCTCCTAGATTAATTTATGAGCATGGATGCCCAGGTTTCGGTGGTAGCCAGGAATGAATTTGCACAATTGAAACTAGTGCAACAGCTCTGACCATTTTTTGAGAGGTCTGATCTGGCCATGTGCTGGATGTAGTTCAACACCAGTGCACAGTTTAGGGGTGCTCCTAGATTAATTTCTGAGCACAGATGCCCAGGTTTCGGTGGTAGCCAGAAATGAATTTGCACAATTGAAACTAGTGCATCTGCTCTGACCATTTCTTGAGAGGTCTGATCTGGCCATGGTGACACATGCCTTAATTACATCCTGGCTGGATTACTGTAATGAGGTCTATGTGTGGCTACCTGTGTCAGGAAACTTCAGCGGGTCCAAAATGCAGTAGCCAGACTACTAACTGGGGTGGGTTACAGGGATTACATAACCTGATCCATTTCTGTGCACAATTCAAAATATTGGTTTTAACCTATAAAGCCATAAACAGCTGCTAACTGGGGTGGGTTACAAGGATTACATAACCTGATCCATTTCTGGGCACAGTTCAAAATACTGGCTTTAACCTATAAAGCCATAAACACCTTGGGCCCAAGCTATGTATTAAGATAATCAGGGGAGGCCTTTTACCTGCTCATGTATTAAGATAATCAGGGGAGGCCTTTTCTCGGTCCCACCACCTTCACAGGTGCATCTGTAGGGACACAGAAGTGACTTTGGAACTCCCTCCCACAGGAGGCTAGGCTGGCCCCCATGTTGTTGTCTGTCTGCAGGCAGGTGAAGACTTTTCTCTTGAGGTGTGAGCCAGATATAAGAAATCTGGGAGTTTTAAAACACTCTTGTACAAGCAAGCATGATATTTGACCATACACATACTCAAAAGAGAACAAGCGCTGTTTATTCCAAGTGGCCACTTGGGTCCCCCAGACACGAGGGACCTTGACCCAAAAGTACAAATAGCTTTTATGCCTTCTAACCACAGGGAAAAAAAGGTACAGAAAAATCCTCATTTGCTGACAAGTAGGTCAAGGGGGTTATTCAGTATGCATTCTATAGGGTAGAACAGCAAAGGGGCCTATGCTTTCTAAGTATGTAGGCAGTTCCCCCCTTTGGGTACTCTAACTTGTCCCCAAGCTGTTCTGCAGTTACATTTCAATAGGAAATTAGGTAGGCAGGATAATTGTGGTCAGCTGCTATACCACAGCCTAGCTTCAAAGTGGAGCAAGCAGGTGCATCTGTGACAGTTTCTTAGTGACACCAAGCTCAGTGAGAAAAGCAAAGCTTTTTTATGCTTTAAGCAAACAAGAAGAGTAAGGGTCTGGTGGGGGGGCTGTGGAGGCATCCTTTAATAAACTCAGACATTCACGTTCAGAGGCAAGCTTTCCCTCAGTGACTGGCTGCCTGAGCCTGATCTTTTTAGGATTGTTATGCATCACTACTGTGACTGTGTTTATTGCTTGTGTTTCCCATTTCTAAGAGTGGTATATGTTTGTTCCTTTTTAATTTCAATACTTAGTGTTTTTAGCTTTAAATATTGCATTTTAAATATGTATACCATCTTTGTATATTAATTGTTTTGTTCTTAAATATTGCATTTTAATGTTGTAAGCCGCCTTGGGTCCTTTTCTAAGGAGAAAGGTGGGGTAAAAATATTTTAAATAAATCAATCAATCTTATTTTATGGAGTACTTTCAGGGAAAATGGAACTCATATATACAGTTTTTTAAAAGTAACAAATTTAAACACTCAAACACACAGGGCACTGGCCATTTTACAGCCCTTTCACTCTCTTCTAAGGATTAGTGGAAGCTGCGTTCTTTCCTTCTCCAGCGGGATGCTTAGCACCTCAGGTTCAGCGCGATCAAAATAGCTAACTAGGAAAACACCCAAGCTATTTCTCCTGCTTCCAGTCTCAAATTGTAGCCTATCGCGCTACCCGTGCCAATCCTGGGTGAGACGTAATCCCGCGCTAAACCAAGGAAGACGGCTCAAGCTAGCGACTGCCCTCTCGTCAAACACGCTTCGTGCAAATCGAAAGGCGACCTCCTGGCGGCTCCTGCTCCTGCTCCGCCTCTCGGGAGGAGTTATTTTAAAACTTCAGAGCCCACTCCTTGATAACAAGGAAGAGTTGTGTGTGTTTGGCCTGAAAAGGGAGCGCGGCTGACGGGAAACTTCGGCTTGTACGACTGAAAAGCCGAAACACTGAGGCGTGTAGAGCTGAACAGGCGACGCGAATGCCATGCACTTGTTGCAGTAGGCTCATTAGCACAGCAGAGGGGTTAGATTAGCAAAGAGAGGGGCAGGCTGGCGCTCTGCAAGTAAATAGAGGGAGTTGGCGCCACTAGGGGCAAGAGCGTGAGGGGATTTTCCTCATGGCTGGCTGGTTGCAAAAACTTCGAGGCAAGGGGTGACGGGGGATCGGCGGTGGCAAGCAACCGCTTCGGTGAAAGCGAGGGAGAGAGCGGAAGAGACGTGCAATCCGATCCCACGCTTGTTTCTTTGGATGTTCTCGGGATGGGTTGTGGGGTGAGGCAGGCTCCCCAATTAGGCATGCATGCAGAACTGGAGCTCCTGTTGTCGGAATGTCTGTGACCCATATCAGCTTGGATTGTTGTTAACCGAGCTGGTATTTTGAGCAGACGTTGGCGACTGAGGCGCTTTCAGAACTGGAGGAATGAGGTCGCGGCGGGGCGTGAGGGGGAAAGGCTGATTTCAGAGGCTGGCAGCCGGTGGCAGGGAATTGTAGTTGCACGGGGAAGGACAATTGGGGACTTTTTACTGAAAGGCTGGATTTGAAGCCTTTGGCACCCTGAGGGAACTTGGAAGGGGCTCCTCAGGCGAACGAAGGAGTTGGTAGCAGTGGGGAAATAAGGGAGAGGGCAGAGTAACTTGGCACGCAGGTTTCAAGCGGGATTTGTCCCTCAGGGTAATTGTAGTGGGGGGGAAGTCATCCGTCTGGAGTAGTATCTCTTTCGAGACACGAGGCGACGGGGTCTCTCCATATGAATAAGAAACTCCTCACTTATCAGTAGAGTGGCTTGAGATGCCGGGGGACGGTGGGGGGGGTACAAAAGAGCACGAGGGGTGCCTTTTAAGTGGCCGAACCGCGGGGTGACGGTGTGGGAGAGGCCGAGAGGAAGCTGGTCAGGCGGCGCGGCGGGTGGACGGCAGAAAAAGGGCTTGGCCGGACGCCTCAGCGGGAGGAGGCAGCAGCAGCGCAAGCCCGCCACCCCCACCCCCCTCGCCCGCAGCAGGCGGTGGAGTCCAGCCAGCCACCCGCTTGGCTGCCGTTGGCCAGAGTTTGGCTCGCTCCCCTCGCTGCTTCTCTAGCTGCCGCCCAGCTCCCGCCGCTCCCCATGTCTCTGCCGGTGGTGCTGCCGGGTTCGTGCTGCCCCATGGCCAGGCTCTCGGGGGTTCCCGAGGCGGCCAGACATTGCTCAGTAGCAGCGGCTGCTGCTGCGGCCGCCGCCGCCGCCATCCAGGACCCGTCGCAGCCTCCGCCTCCGATCCGGCCCCGCTGGTCCCGTGGCGGTTTGCAGCAGCCCCGGCCTCGCCCAGCCGCTCTCTCCCCAGAGGCTTCTCGTCGGGCCGCGGCCTCTTCCTCGGCGGGACCGCGGCTGTTGTTGCCGGCCAGACCTCTGTTGTCCTTGGGGCTGCTCCAGCTGATTTTGGGGTGCTGCATGGTGGCCCTAAGCTTTGGGGCGCTCTCCCTCAGCAGCTCCCCCCAGGTGAAGAACTCGTGTCCCTTCTGGGCTGGTTCCTCGGTAAGTGGCCCTAGACACGGCTTTGTTTCTGTTTTGCATGTCTAGCATTGTCAGTATCTTCGGAACACCTGCTAGATCGTCTCCTAGGAACCCGCTTTCAGATTTTCCATCCTTTGTGAGAAGGTGATCACCTGACCAACATTTAAAATGGGAACGGCATTGCTTAATTCTCAAGGTATTTTACGACATTCATTGTCTTTCTCCCTACAAAAATTCTGAGGATGGAATTAATTGCATTTTCCTCAAGAAGAATTAAAATGAGAACTGACATGATCCTAATCCATACTCATTTTTCTCAAGTGAGATTTGGAGGAAATGGATGTATTTCTGGGTGCCCAGGTCACCTGGTGTTTGTTTATGAGGGTGCCCCACAATGGATCTGTATTCTGAAAGAGGGCATCACTTTAATAAAACATAATAACCAAGTGCTGTCAAGTCAATTCTGATTTATGGCAACCTTTTTCCAAGTAGAAAATACTCAGAAGAGGTTTACCATTCCCTTCTGGGGGCACCCTGGTGTTGTGTAGCTTGTCCAAGGCCACAGAGGCTGACTCCTCTTACAGGAGGCACAGTGGAGAATTTAAGTCCCAGCCTCTGGCTCGCATCAGAATGATACAACCAGCATTACTTACTTTAATTAAAACAGTCAAATACAGTAAATGCTGCTTCAAATCCTAGCATATCTATGCCTGCATACTTTGAAGTTGTTGCAAAATTCACATCAAAGTAGAAGTCATCCAGTAAATAGTTTTGCAGGCACAGTTGTGCAACTGATTGCACAGTCATTTGCACAGTCAGTTGTGGCGTCTGAAATCCAATGTGGATTGCTTGGGTATAACTCCTTGCAAACTTCCACAGGCATAACATTATGCTGTGCCCAGTGCTATATAATTTTAACCATAGCTTTGGAAAGTACAAAGTGAAGCACTGTTTACTTATTTTCACCTTAGTGTTTTCTGTTGATACTTCGTCATCTCTTTTCTTCAACTCTTTTCCCCTTTCTATGGGCGATGAGAGGAGAGAGAGCTATATATTTGCTTATAATAACTTTTGATTACCAGAGTACAGTACCATGTTAAGCCAGTTAGGCTAAAACAACATTTGGTTGTGCCTAAGGAAGTTTCTTCTCCTGTCTTCTTAGCTTGGCAGATACAGTGGTTCTTTTAACCCCATTGACCTCTGTGGTCTATCCCATTGAGAAGTATTTGTTGTTGTTTTTTTAAAAGAAGGTTACCTTCTTTTTTTAAATGGGAGAAAGGTGCCATAGAAATAAAACAAACAAATAAAATATCTATATTCTGTTCCCAAACAAAACTTGAAAGTGTTGTTGATTTATATGGCTGAAATCCATTTTCTTGTTTCATCAAGAAAATGAGACCCACTGATTCTGTGGGATTTATGTAAGTGTTGATGTACACAATGGATCTGCTCTAATTGGGACTTGCAGTTGGATTTAGGGCTACGGAATTTGCTTCTAGTCACAGACAAGATCTTATGGTGTTCTATAACTCTATCTCCCTTCTTTGAGGACTGCTGAGCATGGCAATTGTAAAAATTGTTGATGCTCTTAACTCTTCTGGCTAATGAAATGTTTTAATTAATATTTAAGAAAAACATTGTATAGAACTTCTGCTTATTGTTTGGATGATAAGTCTTTCTTCTGGAGTTACTCCTTTTTTTCTTTCAGATTTTGTTAATTATTATGAGCCTATAAAAGACAGATTCATGCTCTAAAAGAATTAGAGCCAGACTAAATTACTTTGCATGTACATCAGGGAGGGACAACTCATGCCTTTGTAAATACTATAGGACTATAACTTTTATCATTCCTCATTATTTGCTGCTTGGTCTAAGACTGAAAGCAGTTAGAACTCAAGAATAAGCTGAGGGCCATAAATTCCTCATCCCTCAGATACATCCATCCTTTGTGCAGTCTGTATTCATAGAAGACTAGAGTAAATGAGTTCCATGCCACTTTAAAAAAAATTGAAAGCACACGATTATGCAAAAGTCATTTGATAATAATACGTTTTGGGCCATATATCTTATCTTTAAATAAAAAGCAAATATGTTTAAGAACCTAGAACTTTCATGTTCTAGTTGCACATGTGGGTTAACACTAAGCATGACGTTTTTGGAATTCCTGGACTACAGTATCCAGAAATCTGAAGGAATTACCCTATCTATACTTCTGGGGACTTTAATCAAGACATGAAAGTTCTACCAGGGGTTTTCAAGTTCTTCAATTAACAAATTCTTTGAGGGGAGCAACCCATAACCTGGGAGCAGCCATAGAGAAGGCCTGGGTGTCCCCATTAACCATGTCTGTGCTGGCAGTGGGATTGAAAGGAAGGCTTCCTCTAATGATCTTAAGTGCTGGAAAGGCTCAGATGGGGAGATACAGTATGGTCCTTCAGGCAGCCTAGACCCAAGCCATATAGGACTTCAAAGGTAATGATCAGTACTTCAAGTTGGGCCCAGAAACTAGCTGAATACTTATAGATCTTTCTGTAAAGTTTGCTTAACTTGTCCTGGCTAAAGGTGTCAGAGTACATCTTAGTTGCACCCTTGGGCATGTGACCAAGTTTGAGACAGACACCGCTCAGCAGCTTGTCAGCTAGTAACAGTTAGCCATGGCAAATTGTGCAAAACCTATGCAAACACTAGTAAAGTTCTGACTGATAAAAGATGGCCCTGATCAGGAAGGGGGAAAGGGATGTGAGGATGTAGTTTCAGTCTTTTCCTTTCCAAGAATACATGTGTGATAAAACTGCTGATAGTGTTTTCAGGGGTGTATGACTGTCACAGCTTGTTGCTGCACACATATTAATACATTTATTTACTTCTACCAATGCAAACTGCATTTGATTTTTCATGTTTGACTCTAATATTGAGTGTTTGGTTTGCACTGAGATCTTTTTCTTCATAGTAAGTTTTTGAATATAAAGACAAAAAAAGAGTTTATAAAGATTTGACAGATTACGATTACATCCTAAATATGAAAGCAGGTGTGCTAGTTTTGTGCTGATGTCTTCTTTGAAATAAGTGAGCTACAAACTAAATAATGAAATGGTGTAGGAGTTTTTATGGTGGTTAGAGTTGTTTCATATTTTAAAAGATCCTTTATTATTTTTTGCTTCTCTGTATAGCACTAATTACATTTTTAGGTAACTGAAACTGTATAACTAATGGTATTAAACTGAAGCTATGTATAATGCAATATTTTTCTCAACTTGCCCATCAGAAATAATTATGTGCAAAATATGTGCATTGAAGTGAATTGTCTAATTTTGAGTCCATAGGAGTGGCCTCATGAGTTTGTTATATTAGAAGCGCAAGTATAAGTAGTGTTTTTCCTCCCATAATTGTAACTGTTTTTACTAGGTACATGGATAATGAACTCTCAGTTCTTGCAGATCTTTTTATTTGTTTTATTGTTGCAGGTAATTTTATCAGGAATTATAGGACTGACAACATGGAAGAGACCAATGATACTTCTGGTATGTGTTGGTTAATGTGATAATTTTGCTTATAATGCAGTATGGAAACATTTTACAGGATTGTCTTGGTATAAACTCAGCATAATTGAAAGTGGACCAAGATGATCACTTGTAAAGATAAATAGTATAAGTCTGAAGTTATTAAATGACATAAGGCATTAATTCTTATTGGGCATATATACTATTGCCAGTCTCAACAGAGTAATGTATGTTACTGTTGACAGTGGCTGATGTATTGCGTGCTAGAAGTGTTTGTCTTCTTGAAGAATATTTAATTAAATGTACAAATTTACTGATTTTAATCACATGCAATCATATAATTGAAATGTTCACACATACATACAGTTTGGTCCAGGTGTGAACAGTTGAGTCCAGGGGGAAATGGGAAGCTGCATGCTTATCTTCTGCACCAGTGAAGTGCAGCCCCCCCTCCCCAAGATGACCTTTGAAGGCAACTCCTAGAATTATTTATCTTTAATTATGCTGGCTAGAGCTGGTGGAAGTTGCAGTCTAAAAAGATCATGAGTGCTGCTCTCTTTATATGCAGTCTTCCAAGGCCTTTACTTTTCAGTGGAGGATTTACTACAAGATCCTTTTTGGAATGCCATATGTAAGAGATTTCACTCATGGTTTCTCCACAAAATGACTGAAGGTGAAAGTCTACTTTTATTTGTGAGAAGAACTGAAGTACATATACAGCAAACTATTTTTGTTGGACCTGAATACTATTGAGCCTTGTGGCGCAGTGGTTAAACCGCTGTACTGCAGCCAAAACTGCTCACGACCTGGGGTTCAGTCCCAGGTAGCCGACTCAAGGTTGACTCAGCCTTCTCTCCTTCTGAGGTTGGTAAAATGAGTACCCAGCTCGCTGGGGGGGCAATGTGTAGCCTGCATAATTAACTTGTAAACCGCCCAGAGAGTGCTTGAAGCATTATGAGGCGGTATATAAGCAGCACACTTTGCTTTGCTTTGCTTTGCTTTACTGAATACCAGGCGTGGGCAATTAATTTCTATAGGGGAGCCACATGAATAATCTGAACTGTGTTCAGGTGCCGAACCAACTTTACTTAAAAATAAAATGAAACAGTGATGTTATGATTGTTTTTATTTTAAACTTGTTAATCTTCACAAATACTAAAGAGGTTTTTTGCAGTATGTTAAACATAAGCAACTGATCAACTTTAGACAAAAAGCTATAAATGGTTTTGATGTTCAAAACTGTCCATGGGCCGGACAGGAGAGGCTCACGGGCTGTATGTAGTCCTTGGGCTGCACTTTGCCCAGGTCTGCTGTATAAACCACCATCTATTTCCCCTTTCCAGCTTTCCGAAAATCTGCCATCAGTCACCAGTTGTTATAGATCCAGACGTACTTCTGTTTCAGTATCAGCGGTTATTTTCTCTGGCTGCAAGTACCTTGTTTCCCCGAAAATAAGACAGGGTTAATTTTTGCTCCAAAAAACTCACTGGGGCTTATTTTCAGGGGATGCTTTATTTTTTTCATGTACAACAATCTACATTTATTCAAATAGTCATATCTACTTCTGGTTGCTGTACAATGGTGGAAGGTGGGATTTCACTTAACTGGGGCTTATTTTTGGGTAGTGCTTATATTACAGCATCCTGAAAAAAATAATACTAGGGCTTATTTTTGGGGGAACAGGGTACTTATAGCCAGAGAAAATTTTCGGAAAGCTGGAAAGGGGAAATAGATGGTGGTTTATTATAGGAAATGTCTTATTTGTTCCTTTCCTAGCATCTTGTTAACAACTTCATGAATGAAATTTCAACAACATAGATTTGGATCCAGATGTGAGCAAAGGTGCTTCTGCTCCCACCAACAAGTTATTCAGTTTCCTCACCTGCTGTTGCTCCCTCCATGCCCAACAGCACAATGAGTCCAGCAGGTTCCCCAAATTCCTAGGAATGACCTTTGGCAATCAAAGGTCATCAGTCAGAAAGGGATGCAGAACAGGAAAAACCCCGTTCTGCATTTCTGCTTACACATCTCCGGATTTAAGCTGAATGTTTGGCAGGCTTTGTGAGAGAGACAGAAGTGGTAGTGGATTGAAACATTTGTTTAAATCTTGAATGTATTTGAGTTTCAGATATCAGAAAGTTTTATCCTATAACTAATGTTTGTCTAAGATCTCCCTGTGACTTCTGGAATGTCTCCAGGGAGCTTGAATTGCCAGTTCTCGGGTGTTTGCTGGGGTAGCCAACTTGTGCATCCCTTTGTTTCACTGCCTTGCTGTACTGAGCTTCCTCTCCACCCTCTATCCTGGTCCAAAGAAACAAAGCCAGTGAAGAGCAACAGGAGAAGCCACTGTTCATATGTCTTCTCTCACTGGTGGGTATTGGGACTGAACTGACTTTAAACGTCCATACTGAGGGGGAGGTGAGCAAGTGGTGCTTCTTTTCCTCATCACTGTTGTTTTTACTTGCTTACCTTTCTGCTTCTCCGAGCAAGGCAACAGCTGATAGAGGAGAAGGAGCTGGTCCCTTGTTACCTGTGTTCTGTTGGCTCAATTTCCATTACTGACTAGAGAAAGGGAGGAGGAAACTGTTTGCTTGCAGCAATAGAGGTGGGGAGACGAGTAATTGACCCTGGGTTGTGCAAGAAGGTGGCTAACAACAAGAAGATCCACCGAGGGAGGTCTTGTTTGCCAACTGTCCCTGGCAGAGAGTTTGGGTCTCTAAGATGTTCCAATTAGTTCTGTGCTGAATGTCAATTGCAGCATTTTGTGAGGGCCTCAGCAGTAAAACTCTTGTGTTATTGAGTCATATATTTGCATTTTTTAGTGGACACAGAAACAATATTCAAAAATACTTGTATTGTGTGCCTTGAAACCTATTAACTAGTAGCAACCCAGAATAAAGGTTTAATTGAATCAGGACGTGCTAGATTGCTTCCTGGATTTTAAAAAGTTAACTCCTTCTTATCATGAGACGGTTAAAGCAGAATACATCTACTTATTTGAATTCACTGTCTTATTTCCCCACTAAGAGTCTCACCAAAGTAAGCATATGTGATATCAACGTTGTGTTCTATTTCTGGTGCTGGGGAGGAAGTAATTTGAATCCTTCAGATGTGCCTTTGCCCTTGCTAGAATATAAAATAGGTTTGTTTGCATCTTAAATTATTTCCACAATAAAGTATATTATCATTATTAGTAGTATTATTCCCATGATACACGGCCTGCCAAAAAAGGTCAGGATTTAGTTCCTTGAATATGGAGTAACTGTCAAGGAGATAGGCTATTCATAGGTACGTATTTCCTTGAAATATGTGCTGTTCCAAGTGAGACAGCCTTCTGCAGTTGCTGAATTGTGATCACATTTGTACCTAGAGTACCAAGATGGTGTTCTCAGTCTTTTGGTATTGAACCTAAAGCACCAAATTACAACAGAAAGAATTTTAGTTGTGGGGTTTTTTTTTGGCCTTAATAACTCAATCTCAGTTTGTAAATTCTTATACTTTGCAAGCTTTTCAGATTTCTTCTCTTTGATTTTAGCATCCCCACATCTATTATATAGACCTCACTTTCAAAAATGATCAGACCAGGCATATTGTGAGCCAGATGTTTATCAGTTTGAATCTGGAAGTCTTGTAATATTTTGACTTCTTTATTTTCAATAACTATTTTCAGTTTTGTCGCCCCACCAGTTTTTGATCACTGATGTAATTTTTACATATATTCCAGTGTACCATTACTGCAACTTTATTTTGCTTTTCCCAAAAATCTGTGAAATCTTTTTGTAGTCACAGATAAGGTGGTGCACTGTTTCTTCTGCTTCTTTACACAACCACCATCTATGATCTATCAATCTAGGTTTTAATTGCATTTGTAAGGAGTGCTTGCTGTTATGCTGCAAGGATAAGCTCCTGAATTTCTTTCTTACTCTTACTTCTATTATTGCAACATACATGTTTTGCTGGATACATAACAAAAATATGCAGTGTACAGACAATTAAAAAAATCAAAATGCCAAGAAAAATATTGCCTGCCTCCGTACTGCTGCAGCACACTGCTGAATGTCAGCAGTGAAGCTATACTTCTAAGTGCCTCATAGGTTGCTTAAAAGAAGCTGCATAGGTTCATTGCATGTTGTTTAAAGAAGCACTTACAGTGGGGTCTCGACTTACGAACGGCTCGACATACGAACGTTTCGACTTACGAACCGCTCTCATAGGAATGTATGGACTCAACTTACGAACTTAGATTCGAGTTACGAACTCTTTTTTCCCCTTTTTTTAAAAGCTAAGTCATCTTAGGTTAAAAGGAAAAAATATCCCCCTCTAGTGGCAGAAGGCGGAATAGCAGCTTCCCATTAGTTAATTGCACTTACAGTGGGGTCTCGACTTACGAACGGCTCGACATACGAACATTTCGACTTACGAACCGCTCTCATAGGAATGTATGGACTCAACTTACGAACTTAGATTCGAGTTACGAACTCTTTTTTCCCCTTTTTTTAAAAGCTAAGTCATCTTAGGTTAAAAGGAAAAAAGGAAAAAAATATCCCCCTCTAGTGGCAGAAGGCGGAATAGCAGCTTCCCATTAGTTTCTATGGACGAAAAGAGCAGATACGGATTAAATGGTTTTCAATGCATTCCTATGGGAAATGCAGATTCGACTTAAGAACTTTTCGACCTGAGAACTGCCTTCCAATACGCATTAAGTTTGTAAGTCGAGACCCCACTGTACTAGAGGATTCTGGAGACATGCTTTCTCTCTTCCCATTTTGCCCCCTAGAGCAGTGAGGCAAGACTCCAAAACCACAAAGATGGAAAAAGAGACCCATGGAGATGATTCAGGAGGATACTATGGCTACTTAATTAGTTGATGATAGGTTGAGCAGAATTAGAAGGCTTATACCTCATTTGTTCTTCACTTTAAAAAGATTCATCAGGGTGAGGAAAACATATTCATCCTCTTTAAAAAGCTGAAACCTCAGGAAGTGGGTCTAGATCACTGGTTCTTAACCTTGGGTTACTCAGGAGTTTTGGACTGCAACTCCCAGAAACCTTCACCACCAACTGTGCTGGCTGGGGTTTCTGGGAGTTGCAGTTCAAAAACATCTGAGTAACAAAGGTTAAGAACCTAGGGTCTAGATAATCAATGCTATCAAGTGCCTTCCTCCCAATGGGCATGGTTTTCATCATCTTTTTTTCACTGCCATGTGATTTTAGACATTCTATTATCTTATTTCATATTATTGAATGCACTGTGAAATATCAGACTGCAGTGTTTTAAAATTCAAATACAGAGAAGCATGTGGGTGATTAGAACATGTTGGAAGTGTGATATCTTTTGGTATGTTTTGAATTTGCATGGTATACGGAATACAAGGCAAGGAATTTATAGGTAGTAATATAGAACAATGAAAAGGTTGGTGTGAAAATATGAGCAGACAAGTCACTTACCATGTTTTGCATTTTTAATTTTGTTCCAGGTTAACTTGTTTGTTTTGCTCTCTGTTATCTGTGTTCTCTTGAACCTGGCGGGATTTATTCTTGGATGCCAAGGTGCTCAGTTTGTATCCAGTGTACCTAGATGTGATCTGGTGAGGAGACATTTTACTTGATAATGTTTGAAGGGTAACAGATGGCAGTACTTGTAATAGAAACCTTTACTGATTCTAGGAATCTTAAAAAGCCAGTACAGTGGTGCCCCGCATGATGACGACCCCGCAGGAAAACGAAATTGAATCACGATGACTTTTTTGCAATCACTATAGCGATCGCAAAACGATGTTTCCTATGGGGGATTTTCGCTTGACTTTGATTAGGTCCTTGCTTTGTGAACCGTTTGTTCGCAAAACGACAATTTTTCCGGCTCCGCAAAATGGCTGCCCTCTCTTTTCTGGACCCCTGCTGCGCAGGGCAGCCATTTTAACAGCTGATTGGTGCTCGGAAAATGGCTTCCCCTATGGGCGATCTTCGCTGGACGACAAGATAATTTCCTCATCGGAACACATTAAATGGGTTTCAATGCATTCCAATGGGGGATTGTTTTTAGCATGATGATTTCGCTCAACAGCGATTTTCCTGGAATGGATTATCGTCGTCATGTGGGGCACCACTGTACTGTTTATCTGACTACAAAGAAGAACATATCTCATAGAACTGGTAAAAAGGTGGCATGAGGTGTTTTGAAGATACCAGTTGGGTCTAATAATTGATTTTCTGGTTTAGCTAATGGAGCAAAACCTTGGCTTGAACCATTTGTGCAGTCCCTTCAAACAAAGATCATACTCTAGTTTGGAGGGCTCATTCAAAACATAGTTGCCTGATTGAGACTCAGATCAGATGATATAAATCAGGGGTTACCAACCCCCCAGTGCCGGTCCGTGGGCTTCCCAGGACTGGGCTGTGGAGACAGATCTCCACCCCCTGCACGCACGCACAGTGGGCATGTTGTGCTTGCGGGGGACGTGTCGTGCTCATGTGCCTGTGCGGGGTGTGTGTCATGAGCCACACCCACCCACAAGCGCAGCACACCCTCCCGCGAGTGCGCCCCTGCACATGGAGCCCGCCCCCCAACTGGTCTACGGTTCCAAAAAGTGATATAAATAACACATTTATGATTCTACCAGGTTCTTGCCTAAGTAGTCAGTTGAGCAAATTAAGCCTGTGTTTAGTTCCCAGTGATGAGTCATGAAACAAGACAATCTAATTCAAAAGACTTGGAAGCAGGAAAGCACATGCTGTTTCAAACAGAGTTTTTTCCAATCACTTAAGGGTTTTCTTCTAACATCAAGTTCTTAATAGCATCTTGTTTGACTCTTCAATAACTGACTCAGTTAAGCAGGAAAGTCATGTGGGAAGCTTTGTAGGGGAGAAGAGAAGGGGGAGCATGTGAACACAGTACTTATTAGCAATCCTGCAAACTGTCATTTTGAAGACCACTTAAATGTAGCCAGCTAAGTTCCCCTCGAAACTTTTGCTAATGAAAGTCCATGAAACACCATGTATATTATACCATTGTGTATCATTGTGTAGTATTTTAACTGTGTATTGTTAAGTTTTATTCTGCCAGTATAAATTAAGGGGGGGAAATAAGAATCCTGTTTAGGTTTATTCAGAAACAAGTTCAGTTTTGTATAGAACAGTAACTTTGTGGGAAATCTTATTGCTTAAATTATGTCTACAGATGGATGATGGCATCAGCAGCAAGGATCTTTTTTGTAATTAAAGACATCCTCCTTCTGTCCTGTGGCTTGTCTCACTTGGGAGTAATCAGTTTCATTGTGTAGAGACTGCAAGATGAAAGGAGGAAGTCTAAGTACTGAAAAACTTTCCTTGTCATTTATGTCACCTGCTCTCTGAGATTATCTGTAATTAAAGACTTACTCTTTACACAACAGGATTTTGGTCACTTTAAAAAATAATAAAGCAGATACAGTGGTGCCTCACATAGCGAGCGCCTCGCTATGCAATGAAACTGCATAGCGAGGGGTTGCGGGCCATCGCCGGAGCGTTCGCTCAGCGATGGCCCCTATGGGCTCTTTTCGCTATGCGATGATCGCGCGGACGCGATCAATGCATAGCAAACAGCTGATCGGCGGTTCCAAAATGGCCGCTGCTAAAACAAAATGGCAACCGCTGTTTTGCCTCGCTAACGAGGCATCCAAAATGGCCACCGCAATGGAGGAACCTCGCAGAACGGTGAGTTTTAAGCCCATAGGAACGTATTAAATCAGTTTTAATACGTTCCTGTGGGCTTTTTAAGTTCACTTAGCGATGTTTTGCTGGGCGAGGGTTAATCCGGAACGGATTAACCTCGCTAAGCGAGGTACCACTGTGCTTTCTTAAGACTTAAGATATTGTTTGTGACTAACATGCATATGAATATTTTCAAATTAGAAGAAACCATTTGCCTTAGGCTTATGCATACTTCTGTTTTATTATACTGTAGGTAAAGCAGGAAGTTTCAGAGGTTTTTAATTTCAACCAACCTGTACATCAGCAATGGCAAACCTATGGCACACGTGCCACAGCTGGCACACCTGAGCCCTTTCTGCGGGCATGAAAGCCGTAAATTGCCAGATCTCTACCCCCCCGCGCAGCCAAACCTGATGCTGGCGCTTTGACAGGCGGCGGGCCAGGATCCGGAGCAGCTGGCACTGGTGGAGGATCCGGAGTGGGGTCTCGAGCCAACTCTGTGCCCAGATTCCCCCTTCTGCCACTTCTGTTCTGCCCCTGCTGTTGCCCACTAGGTTTTTGTTTTTTTTTGTTTGGGCACTCAGGCCCAAAATCTTATTGCTTAAATTAACAGCTGTCACTGCTATATATACTATTTTTCTTGCTCATGCTGCATCGTATAGGCACTATTTAGTGGCAGCTACTAAGTAACATGATTAGTACGAAATCCTGAGACTCTAAAAATGTAGAGTCAGTACACACAGGGTCAGTACCCAGCACAACAAAATACAATAACTGCATGACAAGTTCTTTAATCTGTACTGATCATTTAAAACGTTCTTAAATGTGGACTAAAGAGTAAAATATTACATATTCATTACCTACTCTCTCTTATGTATAACATTTGTGTGGATAATATTTATTAGAGCAGTGAGCTTTTGTGGTTTTCAGTTTTTTGATTTGCTTTGTGGATACACAGTGGCTGAAATCCAGTAGTAAGTCACAACTAGAGTAGGTCCATTAAATCAGTGGGGATTTGGTGAGTCAACTCTTCTGCAAGTTCCATTGATTAATGGGTTTACTCTGCTTGCAGCATATTACTGGATTTCGGCTGCTTTTTGATAGTGTATTGTAAAATTTACTTTCAAGTTACTAATTTATAATTCTCACTCCCCTTCTGAATATTAAAGATTGACATGGGTGAAAATAGGTTTTGTTTCTGTTGTGAAGAATTTCTGCCAGCAAAATGTACAGAGAAAGAAAATGCGCTGAAGCTGTATCCACTCCAGTCATGTAGTGCAGTTCATCTTTTACTCAAGGTGAGATTGTCATCTCATATTAGTTGCAATAGCAGTGAATAAACTTTAGTAAAAATATATAATGGTATCATATAAATCTTTGATATATAGTAATTCTAACTACTTTCAAGCATATTGCTTTTTCTCCTCAAGCACTTTCCATTATTTCTTGTTCAAGGCCTGAAGAGTGGGTGAAGCTGAGAGAGAGTACGTAACATAAGATATATGTAGTATAAACTCTTAAGTGATAAGAATAGGTCAGAGTTTTCTCCATTGATTTGTAAACCTGGTGACAGCACACCAGGATTGGAACTTTTGTGTCTTTTTGACTACATGTCCCAGAATTCTCTAGGAATTTCCCTGACTACAATTCTGGGAACTTGCCAGAAATTTAAAGTGTTTACTGTATAGGACTTTTTAATCACCTCCATTCAGCACCTCTTTGCTGTGAAGCTGGGGAAGTGGGCTGGGCTCCAGGGGAACTGCAAGGCATTATGGAACTGGTAGTTTCCCTACCTATTAGGCTGCATATAGGGCACCTTTCAAAATACTACCAGCAGTCCCATAATGCTCTGCTCTTCAAAGCATCATCATGGCACTGACAGAAGTGTCAAATTGAGTTGATTGAAAGCTCCTGTAAGCATTTATTATTGATTGAAAACTTATGTAAGCAGTTCAGGCTGGGAGAATTCCTATAGAATTCTAGGACTTGTAGTCAATAACATTAAATTCTTCGTCGTGGTCTTCTGTGAATGCACACGAAAGGGTTAAATCAGCGCCAGCGATGATCCTTTCGGAATGTTCTAGAGCTAAAAGAAACAACGTTGTAGATTAGGCATACTGCGCATGCTCCTCCCACCCAGCCTTAGTTCCATTTCTCCGCCGTGCGAAGTGGTTCCTTTTGGCTAGAGCTCCTGCTTCTTTATCGGTTTTTGGACTAAATTTGGTTTTTTCTGACTCGGACTGCCTAGACCACCCTTAAATCCCCTATCCTGACGTGGACTGGCTTTTCGGACTTTGCAATTGGGATCCCCCTTGTTTTGGCGAAACGGGTGTTTTTCCCGCCTAAACCAACGGTCTCCCGGACGGCCGGATTTTTCCCTGTTTGCGGCTTATGTCCCCGTCCGGTCCGTTCAGCCGCTGTGTGACCTGCGATCGGAAGCTACCCTTTCAGGACAGGCACGATAAGTGCCTTTTTTGCTTGGGGGAGGCACATTCCCCGCAAGATTGTAGGCACTGTAGGGCCTTTACTAAACCTGCCCTGCGTGCGCGCCAGCAGCGTTTGAAATACCACCTTTGGAACGCCACGCTGGCTGCTTCAAAACCTTCATCTATGGAGCTTCCTGCCTCGGCGGCTATCCCCTCTACCTCCTCTAGCCTTGTCCAGCCACCTTGTCCCAAGGCTCAGAGCAAAATTGCAGACAAACCTAAGAAGGCTCCAAAGAAGTCGTCTGCGGCAAAGGTTCAACCGGCGAAGCCTGCAAAACAACAAAAGAAAAAGCCGGTCAAAGACATCGGGACAACAGAGCAGCTACTTTCTGCTTCTGCTTCCCTCCCGTCTCCGATTCTGGAGGAGTTCCCAAGAGATGGAGAGTCCCTGTCGGAGGTACCGCTTTCGCTACCTCCTAGACAGGCTGAGCCATTGATTCTTCCTCGGGTTCTATCCCCGACGCCGAACCAGCTTGCCAGTGCCACTGCAAGCTTGGTGTCTCCGCCTTGCAGCCCTGTGTCTACCGGGCAGGCGTCTGTGCTCATTCCTCCTCATTGGCGTCGAGACATTCTTCGCCCCGAGGAAACGCCCGCGCAAGACGAAGCACATTTTTAAACACCGACGTCGATCGGCCGACCAGCGTTCTCGGCGCCGTCACAGATCTCCCTCGGAGGACTCCTCGTCGTCGTATTCGCCCCCTAGGAAACATCGACGTTGACATTGGAGGCGTTACACATCTACCTCGTCCTCGACGTCGCAAGAGAGACATCGACGTCGAAGGAAGGAAAGATACATTTATGCCTCCTCTTCCTCTTCGTCGCCGCGTCGTCGTCGACATCGACATCGTGTCGACGTTGATCCCACACTACCACCTAGTGGGCAACCGAAAGATGCTTCTGCCCCTATTTCTT